TGTGACTTTAATTTCAGTTGTGCCTCGGTATATTGGTATATAGATGTCACTCACATTTCCTTATTTTTTCATTAGAATCAGTCCATCCTTATAATAAAATTTCTTTCATTGTATTAGTGTAATGCATGTTGGAACGGCTTTCATTTCAGAATACAGTTTAATAGTGTCAAGGTTAATTCATGATACATATTCGCCCTTGGGAATACACAGTCCATTATATATTAATTATCATTAAAACTCTCCAACGATAAAATCACACACTGAAAAAGGTATCACTGATACTGGAAAATGTATTACTGAATGATTGGTAATTAATCCCGAAAAAGTTGGATATATATAAACTTTCAAGTGCCCACGCAAGTATATAAGCTTGATTACTGCTTGGAGTGCATGAATATATAACAACTAATATTTATGGACATTTGATTTGCAGCTTTATGGCGTTATCTCTTAAAGGAAGAGCCTAAAGGGTAGACAGCTTTGAAGGCGCTCGAGGCTCTTTGATAATTATTGGAGAAACATGTTTAAGACATGATTTGCTCGAAGACTTCTGTGAGGAGAAGGATGAAGCGCCGGAAATACATGACACTGACTTGTTCTTTTGGTTTCGCGTGAGAACGTGTAACTAAATATAATATTGCAATAGATAATACTAAAAAAAATATATGATATACAAGTAAGTGAGATCTGAAACCAGTAAGAAAAGAGAAATAATCGAGCGAAAGAAGCAATGAAGCCAACGCAGACAGCCACCCCAGCGAGGGCGTTCCTTGGGCTCCTCCTCGTTCTCCTGTGGGCGCGTCTTGGCCTTGCTGTGAGTATGGGGGGCGGTGTGGTTTGGTGGAAGCCTGTAGACAAGTTTTAGGGTGTTTTCAGACGTTACCCTTTGTTGTGCAGATATTGCTATCACCTGGTATCGGAATAATAATGATCATTCATGTATATATATATATATATATATATATATATATATATATATATATATATATATACATATATATATATATATATATATATATATATATATATATATATATATATATATATATATATACTATTATATGTAACACACACACACACACATATACACATGTATACATTACTCGTATATAAGTAAATAAATAAATATATATATATATATATATATATATATATATATATATATATATATATATATATGTACTTACATACAAATATATGTGTGTGTGTGAGCGTGTGTGTGTGTATGTGTGTATGTACACACATGCATATGCATATGCACATGTATGATATATTCACATCTAACCACAAGTCCCACATAAGCATCCCCTCCCCTCCCCTCCCCCCAGATCTACCACCCCGACGCGACGCGGCCTCCGAAGGTGAAGGAGCGCGTGGACCTGAAGCCCCTCCCAGGCACCGCTGAAGACGCCGACTCACGCCCTCCTGTCAGGGTGTTCAGGGGCCGACATCGAGGACCCAGCGGGGAGGCCCTGGTACGTCTGTGATGTGGTTGTGTATGATGAGTGGAAATGAACGGGTGGATAATTAGTCACGGGCTCAAATACAGACATAGGCAGAAAAAACGAAATAAATAGATAGATATCGCAGACACAGATATAAACGTAAGCGGATGGACAATCACTCACGGACACAAATACAGACATAAACAAATAAACAAAATACTCACTCACGGACACAAATACAGACATAAACAAATAAACAAAATACTCACTCACACGGACACAAATACAGACATAAACAAATAAACAAAATACTTACATAAGGACACAAATACAGACATAAACAAATAAACAAATACTCACTCACGGACACAAATACAGACATAAACAAATAAACAAAATACTCACTCACGGACACAAATACAGACATAAACAAATAAACAAATACTTACATAAGGACACAAATACAGACATAAACAATAAAAAAAATACTCACTCACGGACACAAATACAGACATAACAAATAAACAAAATAGACAAATATACGCATAGACACAGACGTAAACATAAGAGGATGGTCAGTCACTCACGGACACAAACAAACAAAATAATAGGACAAACATACACACTGACACACACGCACACACAACACATACA